TTTAGCATTTAAAATAGATTATTTTGATGTGTTCATCTTCTTCATTACACAAACTAGTTTGTTCTCATTATGGTCCCAATTTTAGCAAGCACGTAGGCTTAGGGAATGACTGACTTAAATCTAGGTAATGCTGATTTGCATTAAGAAGTGTACATAATAGCATAGTTCTTATGGTTCTTGGTGCCAAGAAACTAAAATTAAAAATTCCTCTGTACCTGAAAGATTAGTGGTTTATTTCTAATTATGTTCAAGTAATTTCTTTGAGACATTCCATCTCTGTTTTCTCATCTTCTTGACCTTCACAGCTCAGACTTAGTAGAAAGCTCACTTTCTAAAGCTGCTGCTGTTTATATATAAATACGGAACAATTACTTTCCAGTCTCCTGGTGCTATGATTAAATAGAATAGTGGCATGTTATTATGAGGTTCAGTTGAACTTTGTCATAGCCTTTGTATCAAATGATCCTGAGAATTGTAGACTAAACTAGATTTTTTTTTCAATTTATCTGAAATTACGGTAACATTTTAAATCCTTGGATGAAATTGTTAATCTGTACTTTGGAAGAAATGAATGATGATTAATATTTGTAACTTGTAGTCATAGGGAAACTTTACATTTTAGCAATTGCTCTGATTTGATAATTACCAGTGAGTAGGGTGGCAAGTTAATATGAATCCTGGGTATCAAGGAAAAAAAGAGCAGTTAAAGTTGTTGCATTGTGTAGTGGTTTCAGAGTGTGCTAACAGGATCTCTTTTGGGTCAAACTGAACCAGAAGATGTGCCCCAGGAGCACACCTACTGTGCTTCAGTGGCTAAGAGATATTCAGTCCATAGGATTGACAAGTGTTTAAAATAAGCCCCTCTCCTTCAAATATGCTTTGTGTGGGCATTTGGTCCTGCACGCCATTTCTATCTGCAGATTCTGTCCTACTTGGCCACGCCACTTGCTAATGTCAGCATTGGCTGGGAAGCACTCTGTAATCATCCCTCTTACCTTCAGTAATACAATAAAATAAAAAATCCCCAAATCCATCAACTTCAACTTGGGCAGATGCTTCTAGTCAGAGCAGTATACAGAGCAATGAAACCAGGCAGCAGTAAAAATGACAACATGCAACTGGGTGGAGGGAGATCTAAAAACCAGAGGCCTGGATATGAGCTATTCATTTTGTTTTCTGCAATTGAAAGTAGAAGAGTAATTTAATCTTTAAGCACTCAGGTGGGGAGTGATGAGTGAAGAAGCAATCACTACCTGAGATTAAAGCTGGGCTCAGATCATAAGCTTTTGAGTAAGAACGATACCATTTACACTTTCCAGAACCTACAGATGTTATCGACTTATCGGGGTAGTTCTTGATCACATAGGTAGAAAGATGTAGCATGGAAGACCTTATTTTTTTGAGTTTGACTAATAAGTTGCATGTTCTGATTAAATGATATCTAGAAAGATTTTCAAACACCAGTTTTCCAACTTGTGTTGTTCTTTGTCAGCATGGTAGTACACACTTCCTTGCTACCCAATACATTAATTTCAATGAATTTTATGCAGTGATTGTTATTATATCTATATATATATTATATGGTTTGGCTACATTATCACCTTCTACTGTCTTCATATGCTTAAGATGATCATGAAAGCTGGTTTAAAATGCCTGTTTTAAATCTTAAGTGTACTTGTAATTTGATGCTTTAACTTAAAGCTATTAACACTAAACTAGCCATTAAACACTTTAAAACATTAGGATGAAATGTAATTGTTTTGTGAAACGTGCACTTGCAGTCTTTAGTTTAAAACATGAATTTATATCGGATTAGCCAAGTTGTTCGGAGATGATCCCAAATATACTATAAACCCACAGACTGTTGAAATTTGAATTACGTTTAAGCCAAAGTGCCCATAGAAATATAAAAGCCTCACAAGGAACATTGGTAGATTCCTCAGTGGGGAATAAAGCGGACTAAGTGGAAACAGTATGTTTTGTGTTCAGTACAATGTATGAATGTGAAAGTGCATTGAACACATGCAGCTTATTTGAAGGTACCTATATCTAGAGGGGAAAAAATGTTTTTCTGCTACTTTGAGTTGATACAAAAGAGTTCTTTGAGCATCTGAAGCTTTGATTTTTTTTTTTTTTTTAATGGACTTCTTGATTTGGGTTGTTTATCAGCTGTAATTACTTGGCTTCAACATTGGTTTGCTGTGACAACTCATAGTGTGTTCTTAGTAAGGTTTTTATTTTTAATTAAATGCTTTGCTGCATTCTTCCGTACTTCAGTTATACGAGGTAGGTAGCAGTACCTATTGCTGTAGTTAGCAGATCAGTTTCCATTGTAACCTCCTGTGTAACCTTATGAAACATTCATCTTTTACCTTGAATTTTTCCATGCTTGAAAGCCAGATTTTGCTTGCCTTAATGTAGCAAGCATTCTTTTGCTTCTCCAGTGGCTAGCCACTCATTAGCTTCTAATACTAGAATTGAATGTGTGTGAAATGTTAGTTTTTCATGTCATATTTATTAAATTGTTATTTCAGCTTCAAATTTTGGCATCTCTTATATGCAAAGCATAATACTGATGAATGTCCAAAGACTTTCTATTTAAATGTTTAGCTACATATCTTACTGACAAATTTGTTTATGGGAAATTAGGCGACAGCGTGATACATATGTTTAGATAAAGTGTGGTCGAGTAATTTGGATTTTCTTCTGTCCCTAGGTTAGGTGTCTCTTTCAAAAATACTGTTATAAATTGTTAGCACTTAACACTATTTTCCAAAGTAACTTACAAATATAAACTAAACTTTACAATACACCATTAATATAGGTCAGTTGGTGTTGTAATTGTGTCACACCTGGGGAAACTAAGGTAGAAATGTTAAGTACTTTAACCCAGGCCACTCGAGATTTAGAATGCTTATCTCTTATCCATTAGTCCTGTGCTGAAATCATAGGATTACATCATTGCCATATTCCCTCACATAGGATCTACCAATAGTCCATTGAAACCAGTGGGGAAAAATGCCAGATTATGTCAGCCAGTTTCATGTCTGGGTTATACTTAACATGTCAGGGTTTGCATCGGCTGCAGCTAGCTTGGAGTCAGTATGAAGCATAACTGTGGACCTCTCTTGGTTTCTTTATGGGGAAACTGTTGTTATCAAATGTAGATTTGTTCTCCATATTTTATTATTTAATTCTGTGTAAATAAAGCCAGTTGGCTGAAGTGCACAATTGAGACCACTGCTATAATAGGCTTTATAGAAATGTCATTATAACGTGATGTGAACATCAATTACTCTTATGTGGGCCTGGTAAAAAAAATCCTCTTTAAAATCTTGTTCAGTCTTGCATGCTAAAATATGACCTTTTACCCTAGTCTAGACATGTCCTTTGCAAGCTATTTCTAGTTTATATGAGGATTGCTTGATTTAAAACAAGCATGTTAATCTAATGCTGTCACAAATGATGGGGTTTACAGTTTGAGAAGCTGACAGCTTCTTCTTTGCAGAACAGAGTAAGCAAAAGCAATGTAAGCCTCTCCAGACCCATACTGTGAATGACATGTCATCTGCTGTTTATGAGAAGTTGTGAGCTTCAGAAAGTCAATGCAAGAGAGAAACTGCAGAAGGTCATGCCTTGTCCACCACAAACTGGTTAAATTATGTAGAATACTTTTGAAATCTCCAGTTTTCTGGCACTGAGATTACACATCTATATTTGGTACAGTTCTAGCCAACAGTCTGGAAACTGGTCAATGGCAACTGCTAGCTTTCATGTAAAATTACTATGTGTATGTCAAAATATAACAAACAGTTTAATTAAACACCATTTATTAAGTTGACACACTGGGAAATGTCCAGCAGTAACTTGTACATTTCAGGCCTTGTTTTCCTCCCTGAAAGGTTTCAACCTTTTAGAAAGTAATTTTCATCTCCTTGCCCTTTCCACTCCCCCCTACCACAGCTGGACTCAATATTCTGCATTCAAAAGATGATTGCTTATTTTCTCTAGTATGCAAACCAACTAGCTCCTCAGGGTAGAGTTACAATGTAGTAGGAATAAGGACATAAGAGTCTGAGCAGTACATTTGCTATGTATCTGGGATGCTTTAGACCTACAATGCAATGACAGGGTATTCAACCAGCATGTGTTCAGCATGTCTAGTACGTTTCAGGTGTGTTATGATTACTGAACATGCATAGATCAGTTAGGTAAAAGCCATTTGTCTAATAAGGGCCCAGGTGTCAGATGGCTCAGAGGTACTGACTCTGATTCTGTCAGAGAATTGGCTCCTCTGTAGCTTGAAATGGGGCCTTCTTCCCTCTCAGTCTGTTCTCAAATGCTCTTCACCAACTGTGAATAGCATACGCAACTAATATGGACCACTGCCTGGTGTTCAGTCATTCCCCGCTCCCTTCTGATTTCTTCTTTGCAGTAATATCTTCCTGCAGGATAGGAAAGTAATTCACCGTGCCATGATTTCATAGGTTACCCTACTTTGAGGAAGCTGGATTAGATGAGCTCTCAAGATGTCTTCCAAGCCGAGTTATTCTATGATTCTATGTCTTTGTATCTTCCTGTAAGAATAGATACACTATATTTAATTAAAAGCCCATTATCTGCAGCAGCCAGTAACTGTCTAGTGAAGTGTATAAGGAAAAAGAAAGTGTAGCTTAATCTTGCTTTTCCAGTGTGGTTTTCAGTGTCCTTCAGCAGTGATGGTTGATAAACCAGCGATAGTATCTTTTTTTTGTTTAATAGATGATTCTGCTATTGAGGCGTCTTATTTGGTTTTGGACCCCTGTAAGCATTTGGCATATCCTTGTCACAGAGCTCTGTAGCAAAGTATCCACCCAGATATACTGTGCCTGAAAACACATCACTTTTTCCCCCCACCCCCAGAAGTCTGTATCTAGTCTTTGTAATTATATGCATAGAATTTTTAAAATGTTGACTGTATTTGTAGTAGCTGTAATGTGATCTTTCTGAATCTCTTACAGACAAGAGCAGAGCAATCCCAAGGTGCATACTTCTTGCCTGAGTTTGCACTTTCTCCACAGGGGAGTTTTCTTGAGGATACCACGGGGGAGCAATTCCTCACTTACCGTTACGATGACCAGGTCAGTATTCTATATGTGAAAATGATATGAGATTGTCACATTTATGTAACTCTGAGGTATAGATTATTGTGAAACAAAGATACAAAATGTGTGTTATCTTTTGAAGACACATCAAATTTATATCAAATCAGATGATAACACACCACACAAAATGAAAACTGAGGCACTTAATTGTAGAAAAAATCGATCAGAACAGCTGATGGAAAATATTAATAGGATGTAGTGGAGATGAAAGTAACAATGTTTTAGTGATGTGTTAACAGATGTTTATAGTTAGTTCTGTAAAATGTGTAGAATTAGAGGTGGTTGTCCATTCTGTGAATTGTTTCACCTGTCCTAAATTGTTTTATTTCATGGATAAATCAGTATAAGGCAGATCTTGCATTTCCCAGCTTGTGAAAAGTCAGCACATTTTGGTAGTTTATGAAGTTTTCAGAAAGGAAGGTTGAGTGAATTACAAAGAAACAAATGCAAAGTCTAATAATGGATGAAACAGAGTGTTTAGAAAGCAACAAATTATGTATTTTAAAGTTAAAGATCTTTAATGCTTTCTCCAGACCCATAGAAACATTATGTTAAACATGGAATATAGATATAAATGTAAAGAAAGCAACATGAAAGAAATGCTGTTAATCTTGGCAAAAGATCTAAAGTAAACCTAGGAAATGTGTGGCATGCTGTGGAAATTTACTCATAACACAATGTGTTCCAGAAGTCAGTAGAACTTCACATCAAAACTGTCTGAATTACATTCATAGACACTTAGAGTACATTTCTTAATATAAGAGGAGGGAATTTGTTAGGAAACGCTCCCTGTAAAAGTGAGAGAAGAGCCAAACTTGCCCTGCGGTCACAAGGTATGGTTCTGTCAAGTGATTGGCAGCTTTCTTTTGAAAGATGGTTTCCTTGCAGGAGCTACTTGGAGAAAAATAGTTTGCTCACCACTGCTCTAAAGAGAACTGAAATGAGTCTATTAAAGCTTTAGACTGAGTATCTTTTTAGGAAGACAAAAGGAGGCAGAAAAGATACATTAGAAAGCATGCTAAGATACTGTAAATTATTTGAATTTAGTTTAAATATGTTTACAATAATTCATACTTTTGCTGCCCTAGAGGGAGGGTCTTGATTATCAACAGAAAAGGTACTGAGATAAGATGTCCCCTGGACCAAACACCTGGGAAAGCAATAATTTACAGGACAGTAAAATGCAGCTGCAACTCAGGCTGCATTTAATGAGAGTAGTTGAAAAACACTCTGAAAGTTTTACACTTCGATCAAAATAGTTTCCATTAAATGGAGCACATTTTAGAGAAGATGATAAATCAAATATAATAGAGGAATAGTCTGAGTCTTTGAATAGACTGTTTGGACTACGTGAATAGCATAGTTGATTGAAAAACAAGCACAATGAATCCCCCCAAATACCAGCACAGTTCTATACAGAAGCCAGTTCCAAGCTCAATTCCATCTGATGGAAAGTTTTCCATTAATTCCACTGGGATCTGAATTGGATCTGGGATATGGTCAGCTTCTGTTCTTTCACAAATGTGATTCAGCT